ACATAAAATATTTGCAGTTGGACAACAAAATGCACAACTATTTATAATATTTGGGAGTGGGTTTAAATTAAAAACACTATCACTTCCTATCAAATATCAGAATTCATCAATAAGTTCTAATACATTATAAAAATATCTTATTTTTGGGCAATATAAATTTGATCTTGTTTTGGAGATTAAAATTAAATTTTTTTTAATAAAAAGAAACCTAAATAATAATGTGTCATATTATTAAAATTGTAAGCCAGTTAAATATTATAAACAAAATTAGGCTTTAGGTAGGGGGTGAGCCCCCTGAAAAATTTGATGAGCCCCCTCTAAATTTGAAATTTTTTTAAATATTGATAGATGCTAGCTAAAAAAAAAGAAGGTATTTTTGAAAATAATTTTAAAAAAATATTCTAATCTCTGGCCCGGCTCACTAATACCACTAAAAAAAATTATTACGAATTATACACTCCTATTAAAATAAAATGAAAAAATTAATAATAAAAAAAAGAACATGAAAATTATTTTTTTAAGAAGATTTTGATTAAAAATTCTGCGTTTAAAAGTCAAATGCGATCCATTATATTAATAGTCGTACGTATATAGTTGGGATCAAAGTCACACTGCCCAACATTTAATTGTATAAATAATCCCTCTTGATTTGAACCTGAATATATAATATTTGATTTATTCGTGGAGAGAGGAGTGGGGATGGCTAAAAGCAGGCAAGATTTTAACAACTAAATTCTTCACGTGTGTGAAAACCAGAACCTTGCTAGACCCAGTTATTAGTTAACAAGGATTAATTCTATGTTTCATCATGAAATTTTAGTAGATTATAAATAATAATTTCATTAGGGGTTTAGTAAACAAAACAGAAAGGCATCGTTGTCTTGAGGTGGGGGCTAATAATAATTGCATAATTAATTCTGACGTTTACTTTTTTGAAAAAAAATAATTAACAAATAGATTCATATTCAAAATGTAATATCAAAAAAATGTAAAGACCTACAATTGTTTATATTACTTTAAGCCGAAAAATATGTTATTTGACGGGGATGGGCATCGGCAAAAAATTGGAATGATAGGGGGCTTTTAATCAATGTATTGTCTTATTTAAACAATAAACGCTAGCTAGCGGATTTTTTATTATTTAATCTTTGTTGTATTATAAATAAATATTTTATGCTTTAAGATTTTTGAATTTTAAATATGGGTTATACATTAAACCAAGGCTCATGCAACTTTCATATTCTGATTGTATTTTTAAATGAATTATGACTCTTACATATTTTATTTCAGTTCTTAACTACCAAAATTATTATGGCCTTTGTTGGGCTTGTGAAAATTTTCTCAACATGATTATGAGCATGAACCTTTTGGGATATTAGATATTAAGCATATTATTTATATGGGTCTCAGGTAAATGCTAATTTAAATATATTTTTACTCAAAAAATAGTATTCACAATTAGTCCTAATGAGTTGGTCTGGGTCTGAAATAGGATTGAGCGGGATTAAAAAGAATAAAAATGAATATGGCTTTAAGAGATTTACCTATCTCCAGGCTTGAGGTAAAATCAAAATTATTACGCGTTGGCCAGGTTTGAGAAAAATTTTTTAAAATTATTATGGGTGGGGCTGGGATTGGAAAATATTTTTATGAATTATATTAGACTGGGTTTAGGGAAAATTTTTCAAAATTATTATCAGCTTAGACGCTTGGGAATTCTATTATCAACTATGGATCAGACATTCACCTAAAACAAATTTTTTCGCAGGCCTGGGGTCCTGGCCTGAAGGTGGGAGGGGGTTATAAAGAATAAAAAGATATTATTTTCAAATAACAGGTAACAACTATCATAAAATTAGGGAGAAAAATAACTAATTACCCCTCAACCCTGTCATTCTTGACGGGTTATTAGCTAGAATCATTATAAAACATGTATAATTATAACAAATATGTTAATTCATTTCTTTCTTTCTTTCTTTCTTTCTTTCTTTCTTTCTTTCTTTTCTTTCTTTCTTTGTAAAAATAATTTTTGGAATAAAACAAAAAATTATTCGTTAACAAAATCACTGGATTTTAATTTTCAAATCGTATATGAAAAGGGAAATATATTAGATACCTGCAGAGTGCAGAGGTACCATATATTCAAAATTATTCCTTAATATTCAAAATTAATTGAAAATATTAAAAATTATTCATAAATCTTCGAAATTATTCTTGAGTATTTAATTTGTTCCTTCGCGTAACCTTTTACTTTTCTACTTTTTTTTATACCCCACGCCTTAAAAATCACTTCTTTTTTCTTCTCTACATTTTAATAATTAGAAAACATTTTTATAGAATTTTATTTTCGAATCGAATATTCGATTAAAATGGAATAATGTTTTCATTATTCGTAACCAATACCAATAAGGAATTATTCGATCCTTCGAACGAGGATCGTACGAATAAATACAGTTATTAGATTCGAAAATACGAATCGGATACGATTAATAAAAATATTCGATTACTACTTTTATAGTTATTATACTTATAAAACGTTGGCGAGAGATATCATATAAAAATTTTATAATAAGTAGTAGAAATTTGGGTAAAATGACTATATTTTATTAAATGCAATAAGAAAGACCTCCTCATTTAAGATGCTATCTAATATTTATAACAAAACAGATAAAAAATTTTTAATAACATTCAGTATATCAGTTACCCATAAAATTTACGGGAAATTTCTTCTAAACTATCAATATTTCTGATCCATCAAACAATTGAGAATTGATGTTGTAATTTTTTTATAATCGTTTTGAAGTCGTGAATAAAAAGAATGTTGAAGTTATCTCATTACAAGAATATTTTATAACACATTTCTTCATCTTTTTTATAGAATATTAGCTAGTTCATTTTTTTCCGAATTATTCCAAATTTTCCCCCAAAAAATGGGGAAACCCAAAATAAAAACGAAAAATATAGAATTTATGATGAAAACATGTGATTTGGCAACTCATTTTCTCCTTTGGACTTCCTACGAAATAAAAAATATCACGAATTTTAGAAAAATTTGTATATTTTGTCCAACTGTCCATTCCTGGAATTCAAAGGGGAACGAGATCTAGTGTCGTTAAACCGCTCGATCTCGAAAAATAAAATGGCAAACCCAATATTTTAGCCAAGAAAAAAAATATTACACGAAGCCTGGAGATTTTACTAATATATGGCAGAAAGGTCTCGACATCTATGAAAATCTTAGAGGCTATCGCAATATAATTTTGGCTTTAAATAACACTATTAGGCCGTTGGTAAATTCAAGTAGGGGATATAAAATCCAAACTAGGTGGCAGAAGGGCCCTCGTTAAATTGCTCCTTTTGGAAAGCTTTCTCTTCATTTAGTTAAATTATTAAAATAATTTGTATGAATTAATTAAATTAAAAAATTTTTGTTAAAAATATCTTATAAAGCATGTTTTTTATTACCAGTTTGCAATTCTGACCTGAAAATAGATTTTTTGTTGTTCCGGATATCTTGAGTGATTATGACTGATTCCTAAGATTTTGAAAAATGGTGGATTCCTTTTTAAAGCTATGATGTCCCAAACTCCTCTCATGTGAGTTAGCGACAAAAAAACAATTTAAAAAAAATTGTGGGGAAAGTTTTAGATATCAAATCATTTTATAAATTTGATTTACTTTTTTTTAACATATATTATAAAATTAATTGATTTGTTGAGTGTCTCAAAATTTATCTTAAGTTTTTTTTCTCCTAGAAAATTCTGTAAGATTTAACAATAATAATTACAGCTTATATTATTATAGTACACCAAACTAATGATCTGCATCGGCCCGAATTTTTAAAAAAAATTTGTCCGGCCCACCCGATTCCAAAAGAATTTATTTTTTATTTGTTCCGAAAAGCCCGACCCGAAATAAAAATTATTTGTCCGCCCGGCTCTGCCCGAAATCATTTAAATATATAGAAAATTTTTATATATATTCTATAAATAAAAAATATCGGTGTCCTGCTTCTTAGCAATAATTTAAAAAAATATATCAATTTATTTGACAAAATCATTTAAAAATTTAAACCCGACTCTGTCCAAAATTTTTTTAAAAATATTAGGCTCGACCTAACCCGTACCGAAATTATTTTTAAAAATGGACCCGCCCCTGCCTGAAAAGCCCGTTAGCGATTTACAGATCTCTAACTGCAATATTTAAATAATTTTATTTTTTTTTAAATTTTACTCATTTCCTTCTTACCCACGTTCTTACATTCTTTATAAATTTTTAAATTATGTATTTTATAAAATTATGACCCACGATATTATTTTTTAATTTATTTATTGTTTAAAATCGAAATTAATATTTTATGTAATATTTAATATATTTGTTGTTTTTTTATTGTTAAATTTTATAAATTGACGAGGTAATGAAAAAAATGATTGATTATTCTTCCCGAACAAAAAGCCGGAAAATTATGGGAATATATTATTACAATTTATTTGAATAAAACAATTAAACGCATTATTACAAATTATATAGCTTGGCTAATCTGAACGGAAATGCTTAAACTCGAATTCTCAGATTATTAAACACGCACACCTTAACAAAAATAAATATAAGACTTGATTTTTTTTTAAAAATTCATTTTTAAAACTTATAAATTGAATAACCAAGCTTAAAAAAGTGAGACAATATTTTAAAAAATGGCCTCCAAAAATAAATTATAAGAAAATTCATCCAATCATCGACGTCTGAACTTTTATTAATCATGTTTTATAATCCAAATACATTTTATTTATGATTACAAATTATTAATTACCTTTCAATTTCAGTGGTCAAATTTTTATTTTTATTTATTTATTATTGTTTTTTAACAAAAAAAATAAAATATAAAATAAAATTGGTTTTCATTTTTTATTATTTAATTCTTATTATTATCTTGTAATAAAAATAAATTAAAAAAATTATTATTATATATTTGTAATTTGATTTTCTTTTTTCAATTTTATAAAAATTATATATCAAAAGTGAAAAATTATTCGGAAAAGGGAAGAACATTTTATACTAAAAAAATGAATCAAAATCTTTTATCGGGATCGAGAGTTGGGATTATTTTTAGGAATCTTACTAAATTCTCAGGATTCTTACTATCCATTCTTATCATTCTAAATTTATCATCGGCTAAAGGTTAAAAAAATCATAATAAATTAGGAAGTCGCCATATATTTACATTATATATAATATAAAAATGTAAATTATAAGTAAAAATAGATAAAGATGAGTATGCAAATCAACGGTTAAAGGGGATAAGCTTTAAATTTAATATATTGTTTTTTTGTTAGTAAAATTTTCTTATTTTCCTTTTAAAAAAAAATAAATTAATATCGTGTTTTTTAAAACGATGCGGCTGAGCGCAAGTATCGTTTACACAATGAGAACGCGGTGTCGAGTTGAACCGTAAAGCTAATTATAAGTAACGATTCAGTTCCATTTTGGCTATTATGTTAAAATTTGTAACGGTTCAGTTACTTTCCGATTTTTAGCTACAAATATATTTCGGGTTTTAAAACTAAAGCCTTGCTATCTTTTGATTGGCCCCCACAAAATAATTTGGGATACAAATTCTATATTTTATTATTTATATCCCAGAACCTGCCTTTAGTCACAATTAAATTCTCTACTAATTTTCCCGCCAAAGAATTAATCGAATATAAGCTTCCGACGTAGATTGAAAGTAGTAAAACGATTTGTCTTAAATAACCATATTCATTTGGAGGAAAAAAATTGGTAGCTTTTGAAAACCGGGTCGAATACCGGATCGGCTAGCTGGAAACTATAAAAAACAGCTTCGGGTTCGGTTTGACATTCGGGGTTTAAATTGAACATTTTTTTTTGCGAAAAAAGTGTAATTTATTTGACTTTTTTGTTTTTATTAAAATTTGATTTTTTTCGGAAAAATAAATAAATCGGAAATACCTGCCCTCTCATTTTTTTAATATTTTTCTGGATAAATATGATTGATTGATTTACCATCAAATATTCTTTCAAAAACATCAATAATTTTTTTTTGTCTAATTGAGGATTAAAAAAATTTCAAAACTTTTGCAAATTTTGTAATTTGGGCATGATTTATTTTATTTTTGTTCAAGTTTAGAAAGTTTACCAAATTTTTGGATGGAATCTTAAATATTTTTTAAATCTTTATCATTGGTTAAAAATTAAAAATAAAGACTAATTATGATTTAATTTCATTTCACGACTTCGCTTGGATAGGGCTGTGAGCGTGTTCGGCGCGCCTTAAGAAGGCCTCGACAAATATTGCGGATAGAAATTTCGGAAATCCGTATTTCCGAACCTCAAGAGTGCATAGCTTAGTATGGAAAATCCTACGAGGTCAGAAGGGATTTTGGGATCTTTTTTTACAATGCGTTTATTAGTAAAAAAAAATGCTAAAAACTAACGACACACACAAGAACCCTGAAACATTAATTTATCGGTCTTAGCCTCCCCCACCGGATTTTTTTTATAGGTCGAGCCCTATGCTACCAACCAATTTGCGCTGCACGTCAGTGATTTCACTCATAAATTTATATATGAAACTTGTCTAATTTGACCAAACACACATAATAAAAATGAATTTTTATGTATCCATTTTAAAATTAATTAATACTTTGTTTTTATTTTGAAAAAACTAAAAAAAAATCGTTTTTTTTAAATAAATAAACTTTTAAACTATATATTTATTAATACATTTATGACTAAATTAAACTCTTAATACCTTGTTTATTTAGGTGTTAAAATCAATAAATTTTCTTGTACGATAAAATATATCGTATACATGACAAAAAGAATTACTCATTGTTTTACATATATATATACATAATTCTTTTTGAGAAAAAATATTTTTTTTATAACATTTGCCTATGTAAATGTACCTACCTACCAACATTACATTTACTAAAGATTCTTTCTTTATTTCCATCTTTCTTTATTTATTTATTACTTTCTTTCTTTTTCTTTCTTTCTTTCTTTCTTTCTTTCTTTCTTTCTTTCTTTCTTTCTTTCTTTCTTTCTTTCTTTCTTTCTTTCTTTCTTTCTTTCTTTCTTTCTTTCTTTCTTTCTTTCTTTCTTTCTTTCTTTCTTTCTTTCTTTCTTTCTTTCTTTCTTTCTTTCTTTCTTTCTTTCTTTCTAGGAAGGGAAGAAGATACACCTATATTATTTTCTCTTAAAAATAACTGTATAAAAAACCTGTCTAACTTGAGAACCTCTTTTTATTTTTGGAGATTCTATTTAAAAAAAATAATAAACTTCCCTTTTAAAAGATCCTTTAAGACTCTCTCTCTCATTTTAAATGCAGAGCTTTGAATCCGAGTATTCAGGATCGGAAATTTGAAGCACTAATTAGTAGGACAATTTGACGACAAAAGTTTAATCTTAATCGGTATTTTGAAAGGGGTCCCAAGACCCTACCCTGTTCTGAAAACGCATCTAATTCTATGTATTATATAATCGGTCACTGTTCGGTGTCTGTCTTATCAAAAATGTTGGAACAAATAATTTTAACCATATCTCTCCATTACTAACAGAGCCGACATGTCTAATAAAAGTTTGGCATTATATACAAAGTTGTAAATGTTTTTATTTTATTAAAATTAAATTATCAAAAAGAAAAGTAAGAAAAATGGTAAATAATTACATATATCCTTTTTTTCAGCTATAAAATAACCCACATTTTTTTTATACAATATAATACACCTATCCTATTCCTACTTGTTTAAAATAAATTTGTAATTAGATTCCATTTTAAAAAAACATGTAAAGTAAATTATTTTTTTTTATATATTCCAAACCCAACTTGAAATTTATTACAATTGAACGTCAAAAAAAAAATAAAATGAAGAAAAGTTCATAGTTTTTGAATTTTGAATAAAATACAACAAAAAAAATCTATTATTATAAATAATAATTCTTTCTGAATTTTCGTTATACTAGCTTTCTATCGCAAATTAAAAACAATGTCAAAGACTCAAAACGTTTTCATATCATTTTTCGATTAAAAATTTAATATTTTGACATTTCAAAAAATATCACTTATTTCAACTTAGCAACTCCTTTAAATTTCTCAAAACATTTTTGTTTGTGATTCGAATCATTATTTATATATTATGGGGTAAAATGGACACTTTACATGATGCCATGTTAAATGATCCAACATGTTCACTTAAAATCCCTTAAAGACATACGTATTTTTAGGTCTGACCCATGTTCGGCCCGAGTTTTAAAACCAAAGCCCAGCCCGACCGTCGAATAGCGTCTTGTTGATACGCAATCGCATGTATTTTGGCTTTTATATTTATATATTATTTTTAAAAAAATTTTAATATATTGAATTTTAATTTAATTATAATATTTAATAAATGGTGATATAATGATGGACTAAATGAGTCATAATTACAAAAGAAGGATGGATGCATTTAATTAAAAACAATTTAAGAGTTCAAATCATATCGAAAAAAAAAATACATTTTAAAATTATATTTTGATAACCTCTCTCCTTTTGTCATTTTGTCCAATAAAAGAAAATTAATTCAAAATATATTAATTAAATTTTAAAAAAAAAGATATTGATACGTCAACCAAAAGATATTATGTAAATTGCGAAGGGAAAAGGAAAGAGGAAATTTTTGTAGCCACCCTCCCCCGATTCTTATTCCAACTCCATTTAGGAATATTCTGCCGACTTTAGGAATATTTAGAATTTAATCGACACTTCTACCGTTAGGAAGAAATAACGTCATCGAAATTTAAAGGGTGGAATATGGATAGAAGAAAATATAGGTGTAAGGGGATGGGGGTATAAAAGGATGGATTTTTGATAATTTTTTTATGCCTCTAATATTAATTTATCTTTTCCACTTTTTCGAACTAAGTTACCGATATGTAACATAATCAACACAACAACATTATAAAAAGAAAATAATCATCAAAACATATAGGATTAAGTCACGTTATCATCACGCATTCATTTAAATATTAGCGTGAATGTGCGGAAATGTATTTTTATTTTTTTAAATAAAAAATAAAATTATGTAAATGACCGTCCACCATCGATAATTCTCTTTTATTTTCTTTACCTGGGTTCAAATTCAAAATATTCAATTTATTATTTATATTAGATGTTAAAGATAAGAGAAATAAAAAAATTGCGTATATAATTGGCTAAAGGCGTAAAGGAATATTAAATTACATGGTTATCGAGTTTTTCAAGAATCAGAATAGTTAGATTAAATAAATAAGATTTTTTTTGATGTCGAAAAGTACGGGAGTTGAAGAGAAAAAAAATGTCAATAAATATGACCGCTCAAAGGGGGGTGAATTTCTTGCGGCCTTGACGAAGTTAATGATCGAATGAGTCATTGCTGGGGGAAGGGATTCCCTAAATGCAAATCTTTCTTAAATATTTTTTTATTTTAAGCCAATCTAAATTAAGCCGCTATGCTCCACAACCCATTCCCATCTCCCCCCCCCCCCCCCTAAATGAATACGTAGCACCGCAGAAAGCTGGCCTAGAGCCATCTAATGAAATTTAAGTGGGGAAGGGGTGGGTGATTTGGAAATTTTTGCCTATGATATATGATCACTTTTGAAATATAGATGTGGTCCACTTTTTGAAGTTTTATTCTTACTGTTTTGTATCGTCATTTTTATAAATTGAAGAGTTCTTGTATTACAAGTGGTTTGATTTATACGATATCTAAAAAGGCACACAATTGTTTGTTGTAAATAGGGATTGTCAAGAAATAAAGAAACGGATACAAAATCTTAGTCATTCATATTCCATAATTTTATCAAGTCGAATTATATATATATAAAAATTAATAACAATAAAAGTCATCATTAAAAATAAAAAGAAATGTCGTTTAATGATATGCAAATTTTTTAAAAAATGAAAAATAAATATATTAAATTAAATTATAAAAAAGTGTTAATATATTTTTTTTAAATTAAATTACTCACTCAGTATGGGATGGATAGATACATTAATGTATATTTTTTTTATATATATATAAGTGGTAAAATAAAAAAAAAGGGAATAAAAATATAAAGTAAATGTTTTAAAATTGTTGGAAAAAATTGTATTTTAATTGGTTTACTTCTTCTATTTTTTGTTGTTTTATGAATTTAAA